AAGCCTAACTAGCACACTGAGATATTAACTCACTTGGCCAAGGTCACAGAGCTAGCAAAAACCAGAACACAAAGACTCAGACTCTGGCCTCCAAATTCATGTCCCATTTTCTTTCCATAATATGAGCACTGTAACTGAAATAACATATTATCTTACCTGGGAAGGAGAACACATTAGCAGAGCTTAATTTACCTGATTAAACCAAGGTCACTCATTGATCTTATCAAAGTTCTGATGAAATGGGACATGGAGAGGCTAAGTTTCTAGGTAGGGCAGCTAGGTGTCACAGTGGATGGAGTGCCAGGCCTGGATTCAGAAAGACTCATCTTCCTGAGTTCAAATCCAGTCTTAGACACTTACTAGATGTGTGACCCTGGGCAAGTCACTTAACTGTTTGCCTCAGTTGCTCATCTATAAAATGAGCTTGACAAGGAAATGGCAAATCACTCCAGGATCTTTGCCAAGAAAACCCCCAACAGGGTCACAGAGAGTAGGACATGACTGAAAAATGACTCAACAACAAGTTCTAGGAGGGGAGAATGTCAGGAGGCCCTTCATCAGGATGATAGGATTTAGAGCTAGAAGGAACTCCAGCAATCATTTAATCAAAATCCCCTCATTTTACAGATGAGGAATCTGAAACCCAGAGGGTTAAGTAACTTGGTTCATGGTCACACTAATAGTAAGTAGCAGTCAGGATTTGAACCTAATCCTCTGATTCCAAACTTAGCACTTGCTCCACCATACCATATTGCTTGGGAGGGATGTTGAGTAGATAAGAACCAGCTGGAGGGCACCAAATGCCAAGAATGGAGGAATTAGGAGTGAAGAGGAATTTTTAGTGGTGAATGGGGAACCACCCAAACTCCAAGAAGAAGAGCAAGTAAGACAAAATTCTCCTTTCTGATTTTACAAAGATTGGCCGTGGTACTCTTCTCCCCCTAGGAGGAAGACAGGTTGACCACAGAACTGAATTAACTGTCATGGTAGGTAGAGGATGCTTTCTTCAGTCTGGTGTTTGCCTATGTGTGAATGGGGAGTAGGAGGGGGTCCTCTCTCTCTCTCTCTTGTTCTCTCTCTGTCTCTCTCTCTCTCTGTGTCTCTCTGTCTCTGTCTCTCTGTTTCTGTCTCTCTGTTTCTATCTCTCTCTGCCTCTGTCTCTCTGTTTTTCTTTCTCTCTCTCTGTCTCTGTCTCTCTGCTTCATCTGTCTCTTTCTGCCTCTCTGTTTCATCTGTGTGTGTGTGTGTGTGTGTGTGTGTGTCTCTCTCTCTCTTTCACAGGTAGTATCACCTTTAAGCAGGTCAGGTAGGGCAGCTACCTCAGGGGCTCCAGGACGCCAAGCCACTAAGGCAGTTTTCCCCATGAGTCTTAAGGCAAATGCACATTTATCCTCTAGAGAAATCATCTAATGAGCAGGGATTTGTTTCAATAAAAGTAGACTGGGGTGCTGGTCAGATTTTTATGAGGGAGGTTCCTTGATGGAAGATATCTATAGAAGACAAGACTGGATTTCAGTTTTCTTGTCTCTGCCACACCTAATAATAATAATCTTATTGTTCTGGGACTGTGATTTCATTGCTATAAGGAACCGGGAGTTCTCTCTGCCAATAGTGGAAACTCACTCCACCTTTGGAGATTAACTCATCTCTAACTTGAAATCTTCTAGCACCAAAAGCCGAAGCAATTGGCCTGTAGTCACAGAGCTGGGAAGTGTCTCACAGCTAGCAAGTAACAGCATTTCACACTGATGTAACACTTGATGGCTTGCAAAGTACAAGAAGTGAGTAGTGTTAATATTATCCCCATTTCTGCACAAGGAAACAGGCCTAGTACATGATCAAATAAAACCCAGGTCTTCTTCTTCAAAGTCCAATGCTCCCTCTCTCCTGTCCCATGCTGCTTCCAAGGTTTGAGGCGCTAACTGGAATTATAGTTGGCTGAATCAGTAGCCAGGGCCTTAAACAGAGACTTCGTGCTGAGATGGCTGTTTGCTTGGGGCAGGTTCCTGGAACAGGTCTCCTATGACTGGGTCACCCCTAAGTGTTTCTGCCCCAAGCTGGGACCTATTCTTCTTCTCTGGAGAGAATTATTTCATGGGCACCAAATTTTCTACTATCAAGATCCCCTCCTGTGCCCCAGATCCAGCCTGGACATGCCTGCCACCCACACTAAGCAAGGTTTCAGGGACCTCTCAGAACTACGTCATTGATCTTCCTGTCTTCCCATCTCCCTGTCCCCCCTTTTTTATTGGACACATTTTCAAAAAACAATTACTCATCCACTGGAGACAGACAAGTTAAAGACTTGTAAAGCGGACTCCTTCGTAGCTGAGGAAGAGCTCCAAACTATCACAACCTCAATCCCCTTTCTTCATCAGTATCACACTTCCTGACTGAATTGACCCACCGAACCAGGAAGTCCCTCTTATGTTGAATCCATCTCTTAGGCCGAATCTCCTATGCATATGAAATGTCTTCTCTCCGCCAGGCCCAAAGGACATGGATTTAGAGCAGTAAGGGGTCTCAGAAGCCATCTTGTCCAATCCTCTCATATCACATATATGGAGACTGAGGCCCAAAAAGGTTAAGTGACTTTTCCAAGGTCAATGGGTAGTAAATGATAGAACTTTTTTTTGAGTTCTGAACCCAGGCTACAAATCTAGAGATCTTTCCTCTGGACTAGATTTCGATGCATTGGGAATTACTCAGGAAGATAAGTAATTGGTCTCATAAACTCCTGTAATCTTAAAGAGGCTTTAGCTACCACCTAACCAATCCTTCCATTTGACAAAAGAGGAAACTGAGGTCAAAAAATTTTAAGTGATTTGGCCAAGGTCACAGAATGTCAGTGCAGACCAGAGACTAAAACCCAGGTCAATAAATCCAAAAGTATTTATTAATTGACCACTACATGCCAAGCACTGTTCTAAGCACTGGGGATTCAAAGACAAGATGAAACTCTCCCTGTTTTCATTCTGTTGGGAGAGAGAATGTACAACATTCATAAATATAGACTGAATGAATACCAGAAAGCTATCATGGAGTCAGGAAATTATTTTTAAATCAGGCCTCAGACACTGCTAGCTGTGTGACCCTGGACATGTCACTTAACCTCTGTTTGTCTCAATTTCCTCATCTATAAAATGAGGGTAATAATAGTACTTACCTCCCAGAGTTGTGATGAGGATCAAATGAGATTATTGTAAAGCACTTAGCATAGTGCCCGGCACATAATAAACACTATATAAATGTTAGCTATTTAAATAAATACAAGGTAATTTAGGGAGAAGGGAGTCAGCATTCAGAGGGAATTGAGAAAGATTTCAAGGGGTAGCTAGGTGGTGCAGTGGATAGAGCACCAGCCTTGGGGTCAAGAGGACCTGAATTCAAATCAGGCCTCAGAAGCTTACTAACTGTGTGACCCTGGGCAAGTCACTTAACCCCAATTGCCTTCCGAAAAAAAAAAGGAGAAAAGAAAGAAAGAAAAGAGAAAGATAACAAGTAGGAGGCAGTGCTTGATCTGAGTCTTGAAAAAAATACAAGACTCTTTGAGGTAGAGATGAAGGAAAGCATTCCAAGCATGGGAGACAGCCAATATGCAGGCACAGAGATTAGAAATTAGGTGTTGTGTGAGGAACAGTAAGGCCAGTTTGATCAGCCCAACAAGTATGGGAAAGGGATTAACATAAGACCCAAAAGGTAGACTGAGGCTAGGTTTTGAAGGACTTTAAAAGCCAGAAGAGTTTATATTTTATCCTGACTCAGGTCTCCTGACTCCTAGCCCGTCTATTCCCTGCCCATGATTTCCGTCCTCAGTGTAAAGTCCAGGTATACTAAAAAGCATGAAGAGTGAATTGGAAAACTGAGCAGTCAACAGATTCAGAATCCAAGAGTATGCCTTCTAGCCTTGGTTATAATTAGTTACCAGAACAATTGCTGAACACTGGGGAAAGGGCACTGATTTCTACCTAATGTTCACAGCCAGTAGGCTTTCTTCCAAAGACTCTTTTCCCTTCACCCTCTTCTGTGGGCAGATCTGTCCTCTGTGAGAGGGTAACCCCAAGATCAATTCTGGGGCTTGGGGGTTGGGGGCCTGGGAATCAATACATATGGGTTTTTGGTCCCAGTTTTGCTAACTCCTTGCACAGGCTTTTCAGCTTCCTCATTTGTGAAACCAGTGGGTTGGGTCAGGTGATCTCTCATCAAGCTCTGATGGTCTATGTTCGAAGGCCCCTTTAGCTCTGAGATTTTGTGTTCTGTGCTCCAAGATCTCTTTCTAATGATCATTCCTCATGCTAAGGCCCCTCTGGATTCTAAAATTCCATTATCTAAAGATTCTGACCTTCTGGGCTTCTGTAAAAGATACAAAGAATACTCTCTGTATCTCCAAAAGGCAGCAAACATTTATTAAATACTTACTACATGCTGGGCACTGTGTTACTCTCTGGGGATACAAACAGATACAAAGAATCTTCTTTTCCTTAACCTGTGGCAGGCTTGAAGATGAGGATTCTGGGAAGATGTTAAAGAAGTAAGGCAGGGAGAGTGGCAGAATTTTCTGACATCAGGCTCATGGGGAAATGATCTGGTTTCTAAGGGGACCCCAAATTCACATTCATAATATCTGGTCCTAGACCCTGTATATTCCAGTAGAGACAGGGAGTGGGAGAGCAGAAATAGGAAACCAGACAGAATCCAGGGGGGTGGAGAGGGAGAAACTCACAAGAAGTCTCATTGAAGAAACCTCTGCTTACATCCTTACTTCCAAACCTGAGGGGCAGAGATGGGAAGGGCTGTCTAAGTTACTCCACCCTCACTTTGAAACTGAGGCAAAATATTTTTTTTTTTGAGGCAGAATATTCTTAACAAATAGAAAAACAGAAAGAAAAAAATTGTTCCCTGCGCGTTTCTGAAACACATACACAAAACACACACACACACACACACATCTCCCAGAGATCTAGCCTTCAAGGCATACGCTCTCACAACCTCTTCCTTACCTTGGAGAGAAAAGATGCCGATGAGCCGAGGCAGGGGCTGGATGCTCAGTCCTGGCCGAGCTTAGTTCATGGACTCTGAACAGTCAACATGAACCGACTCTGGGGACTGAAGACAGAAGTTATGAGTTCTCTCTCTGAAGTAATCCGACTTCCCTTTCCCTCCCCGAGAGAAGCAACCACTTCCTTGTGTGGGCGTTGGGGGATGCAGCCCCAGCGAGCTGCCGGCTTGCCCTGCCTTGCCTCCCGCCCTCCCTTCCTCCTGCTCTCGCTCCCGCCTTCCTTCCCTCCCTCTCGCACTCCCTCCTTCCTTCTCTACTGCTCGTAGTGCTGTGAAGGGCTGTGCCAGGCTGCCTGCACCCTGACCACTTTCCCTCCTGCTCTTGGAAACGCAGAGGGAAAGGTGTTTCACACCCTTCAAGCGCCTCCGATGACTCCGGGAGATGCTAAGAAGGCACATCAATTCATCTAAACCCAAAGCAGCCAGCAACCCCACCCCACTCACTCACCCGGAGTTGCAGCAGAGGGTTTTCCAGGGCAGCCTCTACCCAGAGTGAAATTTGGAGACAACCAGCTAGAACCCAAATGCCACGTCTGCCCCTCTCCACCCCATCCCCCTGGAGAGTTTCATACCAGTGTGGACTTCACAACTTCAGAAGTCTGTGGTTTGTGGTAGGGTTGGGGGATGGGGGCCATGGGGGGAGGAGGAGGATGTTAACAGCAACCAGGAGTCTTCTCATTCTTAATGCTCTCCCCCTCATCAAATGCATTACCTTGTGGAACAGTAGAGAGCTGACCTCAAAGACATGGGTTCAAATTCTGTCTCCGATACATATTGGATGCGTGATCCTGGGCAAGGCAAGTGGCTTCTCTATTAAGTTACAGAGAAGATACAAACTTGCAGAAGTAGAGGGAGTTTCCTGATCTGTGAGTTCCCTAGACCAGTGAAATCCCAAATCTAGGTGTGATCCTTCCTAAGTTTATCTCTAAGTTGTCTCTCCCCAGGAGAATATCTTTGAGGACAGGGACTATTTTCTTTTGGTCATGGTATCTCAAGTGCGTGCTGAAAGAAAAATGCTAAGTTGATTTTAAAACACCACAATAAGATTTAAAGCTGAAAGGACTCTTGCCTGGTAACCTCGTTCACTTCCCCCCACCTCATCGCAATCATACAGATCTGGAGACTGTGAAAGGAAGTGATTCACCCGAGGTCACAGCCAGCAAGTCTTAGAGCCAAAAATCGAACCTGGGTCTTCTGACTAAAGAGAGTGAGGGGGAGAGGAAGATGAAAAGAGAGGGAGGGAGAAAGAAAGGTGGGGGGGAGGGGAAAGAGGAGGGGAGTATAAAAGAATGGATGTTAGGTTTACAGTCAGAGGACCTGGGTTCAAATCCTAACTCTGCTATTTTACACCTACACGATCCTGGGCAAATCACTTAGCCTCTTTTTTATGACTCAGTTTCCTCATCTGTAAAATGAAGGAGTTGGACTAAATGGCCTCTAACATCCTTTCTAATTCGAAATCTATGATCCTATGATAAGACTGACAGAACTGGAACCTGGAATTTCTGAACTGTGTAGTTTTCAGAAATAGTAAAATAATCATGGAGTTTTAGAGCCTCTTAGACCATCTAGATCAGAGATTGGAAGAAGCCTCCACCATGTAGTCCAAATATATCCACCCTCAGGCCCTGCTTCACAGAGGAGGAAACTGAAGCCCCAGCGGTCTAAATGATACGTTTAAAATTGTATGAGTCAGTGTCAAACCGGTACAAGAACCTAAATCTCTTAACTGCTCAATGCTTCAAAACACATTAAAACAAATCATTTTCTCTCCCACAGATTGGCCAGAATGGACAGAGACCAGGGTCTCCCTTGCCTCACTTCTGGGGTACATCACAGGCCCAGAGATCAGGAGCTCAGCAGTTTGAGTAAAACCAATGATAAGCAGCAAAACTGGCTCTTTAAACCAGTCTGACTCCCAAAATTCATCCGAGGCTTAATCCCTCACATTCCTGACCTGTTTACCACTTCTCACCGTGTGCATAGCTGAGTTTTGAAGTGATTGCACAATTCTATCACCTCCGTGCTCTGGCCGCAACCAAACTCCCTCCTGCTCAGGCCTGGTACCCCCAGACCCTAGCTCCACACTCAGCTCACGGCTTCCTGTGGTTGCTGAGTGGCTTCTGAAGAACAAGGACCAATGGGCAGACTGAGGGGTGGGGTAGGGCAAGGAAGAGTAGTCCCATAAAGGAACCATTGTCCCTTTCTTTCCATGAGCCTGAGATAAAAGGCCTCCTTTCCATCTGAGGTAAGCCACAGGGCCAAAGGCTTTGCAGACTTGGAACTATTCCTAGGCTCAGGCATCTCCCAATACAGACCTACCAAACATGCCTTCCATTCTCCTACCCCAATTCACAGTAATCATCCATGAGGGGGGTCCCTTCTCCAGCTTTCATGTTTAGAATAAATGCATAGTGGAGCAGCTAGGTGGCGCATTGGGTAGAGCACTGCCCCTAGAGTCAGGAGGACCTAAGTTCAAATCCAACCTCAGATACTTACTAGCTGTGTGACTCTGGGCCAGTCACTTAACCCCTATTGTCTCCAAAAAACAGTATGGTGAAAAATGCATGAGATTCACAAACTCAGCATCATCCTCAACTCCCCAGCTTCTTTCCTCGCCTTATAGCCAGTTCATTGCCAATCTTGTTGAGTCTACCTCCAAGCATTTATCCCATACATTCCCCTTACCTCTATGCACATAGATGCTATTTTAGGCCCTTGTTTCCTATTTCCTGGGCTATCATAATCTTAACTGGCCTCTTAGTCTCAAATCTTTCCGACTCATGTTATCCTGCAGCTTCTTTGTTGGACTTGGAGTCAGGAACACCCATGTTCAAATCTAGCCTCAGATGATCACTAGCTGTGTGACCTTGGGCAAGTCATTTAACCTCTCCGTGCCCCAGTTCCTTTATCTGTAAAATGAGGGGATTGTCCTACACGGCCTTTAATGTCACTTCCTGCTCTAAGTCTATGATCCCACAATTTTTCTGAAGAGCAGGTCTGGTCATGTTGCTCACTCATTCAGTAAACTCCAGTGGCTCCCTATTACATCTGCTATAAATTCTGGTTGGCATATAAAACCCTTCATAAACTGGCTCCAACCTACCTTTGTAGCCTTATTGCAAAATTGTTCCCCCTCACATACCCTGCTGTCCTATGAAACTAACCTTCTTCCTGTTCCTCATATGAGGCACCTGATCTTGTCCTGAGGTCTAGCATGCATTCTCCTTTGAGAACCCCTAGTCTCCTTTAGGACTCACCTTTCTTTTTTTCTTTTTTTTGGTGAGGCAATTGGGGTTAAGTGACTTGCCCAGGGTCACACAGCTAGTAAGTATCAAAGTGTCTGAGGCTAGATTTGAACTCAGGTCCTCCTGACTCCAAGGCCAGTGCTCTATCCACTGTGCCACCTAGCTGCCCCTTAAGACTCACCTTTCACAAGAGACAATTCCTGGTCTCTCAGCTGCTAGTGCCTTTTCCCTGTCCTGTCGTGTTCTGTTCATTTCAGTTGTGTCCAACCTTTGTGACCCCATTTGGGATACTGGAGTGGTTTGCCATTTCCTTTTCCAGTTCATTTTACAGATGAGGAAACTGAGGCAAACAGGGTGAATTGACTTGCCCAGGGTCACACAGCTAATAAGTGTCTAAGGCTAGATTTGAACTCCGGTCTTCCTGACTCTAGGCCTGGTGTTCTATCTATTGTGCCATCTAGCCACCCCATCCTGCCTCCCTCTGCCCTAGTCCCCCAAATCATTGTGTATCTATTCTGCTTATACCTGTATATGTACATATTATATCTCCAGATAACATGGGCAAGAACTGTTTCAATGATTCAATAGTAGTTGCTTGAGAAATGTTTGGGCAGCTAGATGGTGCCATAGTGCAGAGTGCCAAGCCTGGAGTCAGAAAGACTCATCATCCTGAGTTCAAATCCAATCTCAGACACTTACAAGCTGCATGATCCTGGGCAAGTCACTTCACTGTGTTTGCCTCAGTTTCCTCATTTGTAAAATGAGCTGGAGAAGGAAATGGTGAGCCACTCCAGTATCTTTGCCAAGAAAACTCCAAATGGGGTCACGACAAGTCAGACACTACTGAACAACACAACAAAAGAAATATTTGTGGAAGGAAGGAAGAAAGGAAGGAGGGAAGGAAGGAAGCATTTATTAAGCGCTATGTGCCATACACTGTGCTAAGAATTTTACAAATTTTGTCTCATTTGATCATCACAACAACTCTGGGAGGGAGGTGCTAGTATGAGTCCCCATTGTACAATGAGGAAGCTGGAGCAGACAGAGGTTAAGCAACTTGCCCAGAGTTACACAGTGAGTGTCTGAGGTCAGATTTGAACTCAGGTCTTCCTGACCCCAGGCCCAGCACTCTATCCACTGTATCATGGACCCAGGAGGAAAAAGATCTGTGTTCTAATCCTGGCTCTATGATTAACTCATGGTGTGCTCTCAACTGAACTGTGATTAGAAATTTTGGAGCCGGGGGAAGCTTCCCAAAACACTACAACAAATCACCTTTTTATGCAAATTCAGTAGGGCTAAATGAGGATGGAAATACCCTATGACACAAGGTCCTATGGTGGGAGAGAACCCCTAGAAAACAAAGTCCCCCACAGTAGGGAGGGACAGTGGAGTCAAGGGGAGACAGATCCCTGGACAGCTTGAGCCTGGTGTTAGGGAGAAAGGGAAAGGGGCCAAGATGGGAAGGAAATCCCATGAAGTGTGGCCCATGTGGGAAGGAAGCTTACCGTTTAGTAGCTTCCTGTCTTAACTAATGTTCTTGTTAAGTGTTGAATTCAGTAGTTTCTATCTTCTAAGAATTTGGTAACAAATTTCAAATTTCAGTGCCCTGTGACAAAGTCTACCCTACCCTACCCTAGTTATCCTTCTGGCCCTTTAGGCAAGTCTTTTATCTTGCTTCTCAGTTTCCTCACCTGTAAAATGGTGATGATAATCCAGCCTTACTCATCTTTCAGGATTTGGGTGATAATCAAATGAAAGTGAGAGGAGAAGGTAAAAACATTATTCCAATATAAATGTCCATTGCCTTTAGATTCCAAATAGTTTAATTTCATAAGCATTTTTAAATTATAGTGAGCACCTATCACATAGCAAAGGCACTGGGCTAGACTTTGTGGCTGGATACAGAAAGATGTAAACCTCTAGGGGCTTATGGTCTACTTTGGGAGAATAGTCAAACACACAGGAAACACTCAGAGAGTAATATAAATATACCGCTAAATGCCAAACAAATGAATATTACAGACAGTAGGTACTGTAGAATTCAGAGGGAGAGAGAATCATAGTCTTTGGGAAGGAAGGAACTTCAGATAAAATCACATAATCCAACCCCCTCATTTTACACATGAGGAAATTGGAGTCTGGAGAGTTGAAGGGCCTTGTTCGTGGCAGAGACACAGAGATTTGAAATCAGGCCTTCTACTGCCTGGTCCAGTGATCCATCATATGCTGCTTCCTTTTCCAGTCAGTGCAGGCCAAGCTGTCAGTCTTTTCTGTCTATCTGTGGGAAGGAGAGATTT